AAACTATAGTCCAATCAGATTCATTCAAGATACTATCGTATTCGTCTCTAACATGCCTATTGTTATAAAATGACTACCTTCACGAACGTCGAAATCTTCAATGTTTTCTGGTATTAGTAATTCATTGAAACCGACAAATTCATTCCCAAATTAATTTTGAGCAGGTGTTTCGCCCTCCATACCGAAAAATTTTTCAACAAATTGTCGTGAATCTATTTGTGAATAATAGAATTTGAATGTTGAAGACTTGAAGTAAAATATAGAATTGAAAAGTGAATGAAGATTATGTAATAATGTATAAAATGAACTTTAAAAAAAAATGAATGATAATGATTTGTAGTATGTAAAAAAAAATGTAAAAGATGATCATAGAATAAATGAATGATATTGTTGATAATGATTTGTAAATTGTAGAGTAGAGAGTATAGAATGAAAGTTTGGTGGGAAAAAAATGTTGTAATGGATTGGATATTTATAGGAGAAGAANAGAATGAAAGTTTGGTGGGAAAAACATTGTGTAATTAGTGGGTATTTATAGGAAAAGAAAATTAGAAAAATAAAGAAAAAAAATGACCAAACGGTCACTGAAAAATTCAGTGATCGTTCCCATCACTTTTGTTTTATTTATTTTTTTAATTTAGATATCGTCATGATTTTAATATTTATATCATTTTTTTGGTCATAACTTTGGTCTTAATAGCAATTTTCAATCGTCATGGTTACATCTTCAATAACATGCTTTTACCATCACAATATTAGTATTCATATCATTTTGTTGAATGTAATGCACCTTCAATAGCATTTTTTATTTTATGTATACATAATAATGTGAACGTTTGGTAAATATTAAAATTCAATTAAAATTGAAAATATAGCCGTTATTGGGTTACACTCGTCTAATAAAAGTCAATAATAACAACTAATTTTTCAATTTTAATCCGATTTTAATCTATACCGAACATGTTATAAATAACATTCTTAATGTGAACAACAATAATCAGGCTAATAACAAATTCTAAAACATACATCAATATTGTCTCGTAGAAATACACAAGTTCAGATGCAATAGAGAAATCTAAATATATTCTGTCTTCACATCAACTATTAATAACATTATATGTTTAAAAAGGCAATAAACAAAATCAAATTGGAGTCATTTCATTGATTGTCCTTTCTATTTTTGCCACTTGAACGTTCAAATAATTTTGTTCCTATTTTAAATGAGTTATACTAGACTCCCTTTGAGTTAATATGGAATACTTTGTATAGCAAACTCCACCTCCAATCCCTCGTATCCACGATTCTCTAGATCAAATACTTTTTAAATAGGATCTTATATTATATTAGTTTCAGAGGCATGTTAATTCACTTCTTTCAAATTTTCCTGAAATACAATATATAAGTGTATACATTCAAACATACATATATATATAAAACTAGGAAAATAAATGATGTATACAAGCGTCTCAACATCAAGTTTACACGCAGCTGTCTAAACCTGAATAATACTGCAGCCTGAAATGGGTATTTTGGTAACAAAAAA